CCGTAAGCGACAGGTATCGTTGCTGCTTGTTCCAGTGTCCATCTGTCCGGTACCTCCCAGAGGAAATCAAGATCCGCGACTACTGTGGTAGCCAATCCCTTAGCTTCGACAATGCCCATTACGCGACAGCCGTCCGTGTCTCTTCCGGAAAACTCAAGTCCCAGTATACACTCTTCCGTGGCCAAATTCCTTGGCAGAGCGTCCGGTGGCAATTTGCCACTCGCCAACATGATATCCCTGTCGTTCGTATAATTTATTCACGCCTTCATTATCTAAATATGAGTGACACTAATTGAAACTTACCTGAAGTTCAACGGAGCATAGTATACGCTGCAAAGTTTCGTTTTTGGAAAATTGTTAGGATGGTAGTAACGTAGCGGGCTTTCGATCCACCTCAAGCTGCTGAGATCTCCCCTTGCCAATGTATTCACATAGGCGTGCTCCACCTGAAGGGAAGACACGTTGCTTTGTTCATCCAACGGCAAGTATCGGTAACTGCCCCATTGCCCTCCTTTCAGGACGTTTGCCGTCAATCCTTTATTTAATTGCTCCGAGTAAAACTGCGCGGATAAGCCGAACTTGGGAGCGTTCTTGTCCTGGATAAAGACATAACGCGCATATGCGTCGCCTATCTCGAGTTGTATACAAGCCATGAGCCCGACCAAGCCTACGAAGAAACAATGATAAAACATTTCTTCCGGCTTCGAAACAGGGCAGTTAAGGGGACAGTTTAAAAGTTAATTTTTTTCTGTAATTTTACCAAGCGTTTCTTCGCCCTGTGATACAAGGAGCACTTCTTGATCTTTGCTGACAGATTCCTTCAATGCTGCTTTCACATCTTCCAGCCACGATAGATTTTTCTCTGTGATATGAATTACTGTCGATTTTCTCCCTTTCTGCCGTTTCTTCAACAACAAGTAAGTCTTTCCTACAGGATCGGTTTGTCTACTAGCTAATGTTAAGTCAGTATCTTTCAATGCGGTTTCCAAATCCAGTCGCGCAGCGGTCTCCTCCAGAAGAATGAAACAACCAGGTTTTAAGGCAGCAGCCAAATTTTTGAGAACGGTATAAGATTGATTGGACAAAACGTCCGCTGCTATAACAAGGTGTGCTTCGTGAATGAGAGGTGTCTCGTTCACATCTTGCGTTACGACGTCAGCGTTCACGTTCATTTTACTCAAGCTCGCCGTGTAATTATCAGCAGAGACTGCAATGATTTGTAAGTTAATCTGAAATAAAAAATACAATTTTATAGTAAGTTTAAATATTGAAGAAGCGCCTTGGAAAATAAGGGATTAAATTATGACTGTCGATTTACTAAAATTAAAAATAATATTTTGTTTCAAATGGCACAGATTGCTTTGTTTAAACGCATTACTTATTTGTATAGGTTCTATTTAACATTGCGACAATACAATTTATTACAATGGAATGCTGGATGGACAATTCAGTGTTGGGGTTGTCTGTCAATCAAAAAGTTGTAATTTCTGGGTTTGTCGTTACACTGCAAACACGATACCGTGAAGTTTGAGTGAGGAAATATTTCATCTTGAGCAAAAAACAACTTATTCTACGATATACTTACAATAAATTCTTGTTCGTTATTGACACTTTCGATAATAAGCGGCGCCAATAGAGCTTCTGCAGCTCGTTGGCCTGCAATTTCCACGAACGTTAATCTCACTGTCTTCACGTTTTCGCACATGATCTGCAAGAGTACGGCGAGTGCGTGCACTCTTCCTCTCGTTGCGTCCTTTAATAGACCGTGCGAATGTTCATTGGGCACGAAAGTGTACTGCTCGTATTTAGGATCAGCTTGTGTGCGCTGTCGCCGAGACGGCAACAAAAATTTCGTTCCTCTGACTTCGATACCACCCGATTTAACGATATTGATGTTCTTGTAGTGATACACCGGCAATGCACCGTTCTCTGGTAATTTTTCCACCAGTCGTTTATGAAGAACAGGATCGATTGCGACATACTCAAGGCGCGACGGTATATACATTAGCTTATGGATGGTAGACACGACAGTTAACTGAAGCATGCTGTTTATGTACGGTGCCCATTGATTAAACCAGTAAAGCTCGCCGGCGATGCCGTAGTTATCGCAGGATTTGATTCCTCGGAAGACATCGCGATACACGTATCCGCGCAACCTTAGTTCCTTGTAAATGTCATTGGTGTTCAACGGTAAAATCTCCTTACTGGTAGGAGGTGTCGGCGGCGGCGGCAGCTTCATCTGATCTTTCTCGATACTCTCGGAGACACGTATATTTCCGCTGACGATGATCGTACCGGTCTCGTAGATCTCAAAGTCTCCCGTTCCCTTGAAGATGGTTATCGAGAACTTCACCGCTCCTTCCTTCGGCATAATGGTCGCCCGCTGCAACTGCACATTCTCGAACACCACAGGCAATCGTTCGAAGTCAACGCCACGCAATTTCGCCAAAGTTTTCCATACCAGCAGCAAATAAGCAGTGGCTGGAAAAAGAATTTGTCCGTCTATCCGGTGCCCTGCTAGATACGCGTCCGTTTCTTTCGACAGATCTATCTGGACGTTACACTCTTCCGAACGTTCTGATACTTGTTGGAAATCAGCCACATCCCACGCGGCAGAGTGATCCCACCTGACGAGAGACCCGATCATCGGTGTCCCGCGACCGACGGGGAAGCTCGCCGACGGATACAATTTAGAAATGTCAGGTTGTGCACCGGCCATGTACAGTTTGCCCACGTTAGACAGTAGAAAAGTGAGATTGTCCGAATGTTTTCGCTTTTGCAGGCCGATATTGGTCACAGTTGGTGGCAACGATCTGCGCAAGATTGCCTGCAGTAAACAATGCGGCGCAATCTCGATCGTTATCGCGTTCTCCGGAATATGTGCAAGCGCTTCCTGAAAGAGTACAGGAGATAACAAATTGTTCACGTGATACGCGGCGGAGCTGAGCTGAGCAAGCGGACCACCCCATGCGGCCTCAGGTATAGAGCTAGAGATCCATCTGGCTGATCTCTGCTTCGGGCTCGGTATGATCTTCTCGAGTGACGCGCGTAATTTGGGCCCGGCCGAGTCGATATATTTACTGTGGAAGGCGAAGCCGGAACTTTTTACCATCCTGACGAAGATATCTTTGCTCCTCAGCATTTGTACGAACTTGTGCATGGAGTCAATCGGACCGGAAATAGTGACAGAGTTGGCGGCGTTGTGACAAGCTGGAACGATATCGGGCGGGCACATCTTTTTGGCCTCCTCCCAGCTCAAACCAACTGCTGCCATGGCACCCGGCTCCAACTTGGAATCTACAATCGCTTTGCCTCTACAGTAAGCTGCCAGAACGGTCTGTTCCAGCGTAAATGCGCCGTCAGCATAAGCACAACCCAGTTCTCCAACGGAGTGTCCAATTGTACCATCCGGATGTACGCCGATCAACGTTAAGATGTCCACTAGGGCAACTTGTATAGCTGTAATAGTCACGAAGGGATACAACACGTTCTCGTACGTTTCGTCCGTGGCATTCGCGATAATATTCATGAGGTCGATGCCGTGGGGCGTCAATGCACCAGCGCATCGCTGCAAACTGCGTTGAAAAGTTTCAATGCCGAACAACTGACGACCCATGCCTGACCATTGCGTGCCCATGCCGGAAAATACGAACCAAATCGGGCGTCTCTCGTTGTAGCTCGCTACCTCGGTGACTTCACGCATACTATCTACGCCGAGTATCTCGTAACCACGAATTTTGTGACCGCGAATATTGTTATTGTGTATTGCGTGTAACAGTGAAAGAAACTCTTCATCTGTA